GTTTTCTTTTTGTTATTTTTAGAATTTTCTAGAACCATTAATGTTTATTGTGAGAGGACAATTCTGACGAGTATTCCCGCTTGACAAAGTCCATTCTTAATTACTAGGTTTGACTGTTTCGTCAAAAGATAATAAATATTCATTTATAGTAATTTCGGATACTACTTCATCAGATATTTCTAGCTCTTTCTTTCACTTCGTTATCATGAAGCAATGCTTTGATATCGATATTGGTCCGTTTGAATTACGTCTCGGACTTCCTTTTTTTTATTTATAAAAAATAATTGCAATACTAAACAATAGATTCGATTTAAATACTCGATTTTCGATTCCTAGTAGAATACGACTTTCAAATATTCCTAAAGATTCGAGTATTTCTTGAAGAAAAAATAACAGAAGAGGTAAGCTAGAATCTGTCGCTTCTGATAAATTGATATAGCAAATCTAATCCGATTAAGTTATCTAATAAAAAGCATTTATGAAGATAGAATTTTATTAATTAATGATCTATTTGTTTTTATAGTTGTGAGGCAAAACCCTCAACCCATTTTTGTATAAGTCGAAACTTTTCAGAAATTATTTCGACAGCTTCGATCAATAGTTTCGATGGGTTTCGAAAGTTTCGGCAGTTTCGATTACAACTTTGCGAATTTAACGGTATTAACAGGTTTATTGTATAGAAATGTAGAATATAAAAACGATTTTTTTTTATTTTTTTGCTTTTTATTTTAAATTAGAACTAAGTTTCCAAAATAATACAAGGTACTTGAAGAATTAGAAAAATTAACTTTTGAAGAAGATGATATAGGTTGGAGCCGGGATTTATTTATTTTAAAAATCGGATCCGGGTTTAAATCCGAATATCGAATCTCTATTTCAAAGATGGTGCTATAAATTGTTACAACTAGTTGCAGTTAATTACAACTTATAAAGGTATATTAAATTATATTAAACTATATTATATGAATAAATTTCTTATAGAAGAAGAAAGCTATGCGTGATTGGCTATTAGCTGTGTCAAATTTACCAATAAAATTTCTAATATGAATATTCGAAATAACAATCATATTAAATGAAATTTAGGCTTCTCTGTAACTTGCTTCTATAAGATCGCATTATCCTTCTTTACTAATAGATATTTATATCGTATAATACTCTTGAAAATTTAATCTCACATGCAAAATTCTGGTAAGAGCAAAGACAATACTGAATCGAAAGTAAAAAAAATTATCTTTAATTGAGAAGAAATGAGAAAATTTTAGTTTTTATTTTAAATGTAAACAATTGCATTCATAAAAATTCCTACTGGTTAGAAACACCTACCGTTAATTCAATTGATGTCATTGGTATTTCAAGAAGAACAATCAAAAAACTCAACTCATAAACGTGGATTAAATAACACATCACAAGAAGAAAGATTTCCAACTGTGAATTGTGGATAAGGTCACGGATGCAGACATGGAAATAATGATTCTGAAAAGAAATTGCAACTTTTAAATGAAATTTTTAGATAGCTGATTATAATAAAAAT